TTATCGTTCTGAATGTAGGACTAAATTGTATCAAGAAAGGGGAGCAAAATCAAATTTTGCGGAGAAGGAAGAAGAGGTTTCTCTTCTTATGGCTTGCAACATAACTGAAGATACCCATAAAAGAATGTGGTACTTGGACACAGGATCTAGTAATCATATGTGTGGAAACAAGTCTATATTCTCTGAATTAGATGAGTCCTTCCATTCCACTGTCAAATTTGGAGATGATTCTACTATCTCTGTTATGGGGAAGGGCACCATTCAAATTCAGACTTCCAAAAGTGCTAAACAGACTATTTCAAATGTGTTTTATGTACCAGGTTTGAAAACTAATCTGTTGAGTGTAGGTCAACTTCAAGAAAAGGGATATGAGATCATCATTAAAGAAGGAACCTGCAGAATTCATGATCCAAAGATGGGTCTGATCACTCAAGTGAATATGACATCAAATCGGATGTTTCCTCTATACATCCAGAATGATATCCTTTCTTGCTTTTCTGCTATGGTGAAAGATTTAGCTTAGCTATGGCATTTTCGCTATGGGCATCTGAACTTCTCTGGTTTAAAGTTGCTCCATCAAAAGAATATGGTGACTGGTTTTCCACAGATTGATCATCCTTAGCAAGTTTGTGAAGAGTGTATCATCGGCAAACAGCATCATGAACATTTCCCAAAAGGACAAGCATGGAGAGCCAAGATGGTGCTGGAATTGGTTCATTCTGATATTTGTGGGCCTATTAATCCACCATCCAATGGTAACAAAAGGTACTTTATTACCTTTATTGACGACTGCAGTAGAAAAACATGGGTCTATTTCTTGCAGGAAAAATCTGAAGCTTTCTTGGCATTCAAAAATTACAAAGCTCTTGTTGAGAAAGATGTTGGGAAATCTATCAAAACTCTTCGAACTGATCGTGGTGGGAAATACAACTCACGAGAATTTGCAAATTTCTGTGAGATGCATGGAATCAAAAGACAACTTACAACATCCTACACACCAGAACAAAACGGTGTTGCGGAGAGGAAAAATCGTACAATCTTAAATATGGTGCGGAGTATGTTGAATAGAAGTCCTCTTTCGAAGAGTTTCTGGCCTGAGGCAGTCTTGTGGAGTATACATCTCCTAAACAGAAGTCCAACCATGGCAGTTCGTAATTGGACTCCTGAAGAAGCTTGGAGTGGTAGAAAACCGAGTGTCGACCACTTACGGATTTTTGGGTGCATTGCATACGCACACGTTCCAGAAGAGAAGAGGAAGAAACTTGATGATAAAGGAGAAAAGTGTATTTTTCTAGGGGTTAGTGAGCACTCAAAGGCTTATAAATTGTATAATCCCATCACCAAGAAAATCGTCATCAGTCGAGATTTGATCTTTGATGAAGAGAAAACATTGACAAATGTTGTCAATAGTTCAAGCCAGAACATTCCTATAAGCTTTGATGATGATGATGATGAAGAAAGACATCCGCAGCCTACGGTTGGTGAACAACAACCAGTGCATTCTAGCTCTTCAAGTCAACCAACAGCAACACTTGAAGAAGATCACTCTGAAACTTCAACCACAATCCGGCCTAAACGTACCAAAAAGAGACCAGCATGGATGCAAGATTATGAGGTAAGTGGTGTTGATCAATCTGATGACCCACTTGTACATTTTGCTCTATTCTCAGATTGTGATCCTGTTACTTTCCAAGATGCTGTTAAAGATAAAAAATGGCAGAAAGCCATGGATGAAGAAATTGCAGCTATTGAGAAAAACAACACTTGGGAATTGGCAGATCTTCCTAAAGGACAAAAGTCAATTGGTGTGAAGTGGGTCTACAAAACAAAGCTGAATCAAGGAGAAGAAGTTGACAGCTGTTAAAGATCAAAAATGGCAGAAAGCCATGGATGAAGAAATTGCAGCTATTGAGAAAAACCACACTTGGGAATTGACAAATCTTCCTAAAGGACAAAAGTTAATTGGTGTGAAGTGGGTCTACAAAACAAGGCTGAATCAAGGAGGAGAAGTTGACAAGTACAAAGCTCGCCTAGTGGTAAAAGGTTATAAGCAAGAATTTGGCATCGACTACAAAGAGGTTTTTGCTCCAATTGCGAGGCATGATACCATTCGATTGGTACTTGCATTGGCAGCAAAAAACTCATGGCCAATCTTTCAGATGGATGTAAAATCTACGTTCCTACACGGTGATTTGCAAGAGCAAGTATATGTTGATTAGCCTCCGGGGTATGTGCAACAAGGGAATGTGAAAAAGGTATACAAGCTAAAAAAAGCCCTGTATGGGCTAAAACAAGCTCCTCGAGCTTGGTATAGTCGCATAACTACATCTTTTTCCAAATCAGGCTTTCAACAATGTCCATATGAGCATACTTTGTTTATCAAATCTGAATCTACTGGTGAGATTTTAGTTGTGTGTTTATATGTGGACGATATAATCTACACTGGAAACAATAGTGCTATGTTTGATGATTTCAAGCAATCAATGATGATTGAGTTTGAAATGTCTGATCTTGGACTGATGCACTACTTTCTTGGCATTGAAGTAGCACAATCTTCTGCTGGAATCTTTATTTCACAGAAGAAATATGTTCGAGAAATGCTGGACAAGTTTCAAATGGTGAATTGTAATTCAGTTACTACACCAGTTGAACATGGTCTTAAACTAATCAAAGACCATGAAGGAAGGAAAGTAGATAGCACTCTTTACAAGCAAATCGTCAGAAGTCTTATGTATTTGACTACAACCAGGCCAGACATTATGCACGTAGTAAGTCTTATCAGCAGATACATGGAAAATCCTACGCAGTTGCATCTCCTTGCTGCCAAAAGAATTTTCAGATACTTGGTTGGGACCATAAAATTCAGATAAAATAGATTAAATTAGTCAATAAGATAAAATGTCATACCAAACTCATAATCATTTTATTTTTTTTCTCACAAATATCACATTCAACTACAAAAAAATTTAACCATCTTTATAAATATAAATATTTTAACCTACTAAAATAATATAAAACTAAAATAATTTATTAAAATAGTTAACTTTTCAAACGAGGCCTAAGATAAGAATTCAACTCGAGCATTCTTAGTTGAACGAAACCTGAGATAAGAATTCAACTCGAGCGTTCTTAGTTGGGCTGTGGAGTTATTCAACCTAACTTCAGCTCAAATCTATCCTCCAATTAGGAATATTTAAAAAAAATCAGCCGAACTGATAAATCAATGTTTTTGATAAAAAAATAATAATAATAATAAATCACTAAAAATTTAATTTTCAAAACAACCCCAATCAAGGGCGAGTCACCCATCTCCAGTATGGAAGACCATGCAAAGGCAATGATGGATCTAGGGAGAAGGGAAGAGAGAGGGAGAGATGGGCGGCCGCATTTTTAAAAGTTTAAAAAATATCATATATTATACTAAAAATTTTAAAATAATCTAAAATTATAAGAGTTTGCATCTCTAATTTTTTTGTAAATAATTTTAAAATTATATAGAGTAGTTCTTGTTAAAAGTTTAATTTGATTAAGTCTTTGCTTGTCCAAGTTTTTAGGAGTCTGTTAGTTTACCAAGTCCATAGGAGTCTGTTACAACTGTGGTTAGTCAGTTCCTAAATTTGTTTTTCCACAGTCAGTTAGTTCCTTATTTGTTGCTGTGTTAGTTCATGTACTCTACTATTTAAGTAGCTGATTACAGTGAATAAAGTACTTTAATTTTTCCATCAGTTTTTCTCCCAATTTCGTATCAAAAATGATATCATGATCTTTTATGTTGAAATTTATATTTTACCTATATTATCGTGATTATAAATCATCACTAATAATATTGAACACCTTAGTTATAAATAAGGATTGCAAATATCATAATTGTATCATAAAATAAGGTGATAGAACTTCCCATAATTCAAACAAGCCTAAGCTTTAATTAGTAAATCCGATTCACATCATGAAATGTGATTGAAGTCCATAAACATATGAGCAATGTGATTTACAAACAAAAAATATATATAAAATTTTGTATCAAAATAATATAACAATGATAATCTTAAAAATATGGTTGGCTATGATAGAATCCAAAACTACTATACATTGTTCTAGATCAAAATTTTATACAAATTTTCTCTCATGCGCTCCATGAACAACCAGAGAAATCACAGCTTCTAGAAGGAATATACATTAATTATGTTGACTTGTGGTGGTTTTGTTCTTGTTTTTTTCTTTTTCTTTTTCTTTTTTAAATTGTAGATTTGTATCAACTGTCTTCTTTTTTTTGTTTGTTGATATTACCTTGCTTGATCCTGATGATGACGATGTTGATTTTGGCCATAAATACATTAAAAAAAATATTTTGCTAAAAAGTGATTTGGTCACAAGATAATAATAATAATACACTTTTTAATCTTCATTTCAAAAAAAAATCATTAATTTTAAAATGTTTTTTACATTTTCAAAAGACCATTTACTTTAATTTTTTCACTTTTAACTTTTTGATAATTTTAAAAAATGAAGTACAAAAAAGGCATTATATATCACTTTTTTTTTTAGCCTTTATATTTGTAAATTACATAACTATTTCCATTATGAGGGCTGTGCCATTATATATCAGTACATTTTTAACTCGACATAAAGATATCATAAAAAAACAAAAAATAAAAAACAAAAAACGTCCAATTAGTGCACATTAATGTGTATTTAGGAGGGGAAAGATATCATAATTACAAAAAATTGAACAATTCTAAACATTATTCAAAAAACATCACGTAATGGTTCAAGCATCATTGGAGTTGTCTGTGCAGTGTGCACAATAATTTTGATAACGCAAACTTCCATTGAATTCCAAACAAATTTTAGCAAAGACACAAGTCCAAAAAAATAACTTCATCACCTTTGTCTATTACTGTCCAACAGAACAATTAAATAATTATACACAAGTCTAGCAAAGACACCATACAATACGTAAGAATCTCACATAATAAACCATCTAAGATAAGAAAACATACTTGCAAACATTGTTGCTGCAAATGCCTCAGATTGACCATAGCAAATAGCTATATCTGTTAGAGGGTTGAAATCTAAGCCATGCATATGTTTCATAATCTTTGCCACATCGTCACAAATTCCTTGAACATGCCTTGAGTAACCAAAACAAAAAGAAAAAGGGAAAATTTCGAAGGAATGTACAACTATCATTGGGTAATATTGTTACTGAGCTAGGCTGTTTCAATGACTTGCTTAATATAACACATGAGATGAATGTACGAGCACGTCAACCCTAAACAGTATTGAAAGTGGCATCTAAAAATGGGAACAACAAACATTCTATAATCAAAATACCATGGTAGAGTGGATATTGTAAAAACTTTATTCTCAAATTTTAGCTACTTTAGGAAGTGAAAAATGAAAAATTCATCTCCAACAGTCTCCCTAAGGTTGTGTTTGGTTCCTGAATTTGGAAAGCGATTTGAAAAATGATAGGAAAAAAGTGTGTGAAATGTAGTTATATTTTATTCATATTTCACTTACTTTTTCCTTTTTCCTTTTTCCTTTCCAAATCCCAACCTAAATCCATAAACCAAACACAACGTAAAGAGGCTCCTAAATTTACCAATAGCAACTCTTATAACACACCATTAGAGAAGCTCAAATGCTCTATTTGGTTCACTGGAATGAGATGGTGTGGGGATATATTTTCTGAATGCCAACACGTGGCAAGGCGACGCCAACGTGTCAGTCGAGGTGCCACGTGTCCTGGTCGTGACGCCGAGGTGATCTTGGCAAGGCTGAGGTTATCTCCGAAGATATCGGATTCCGAGATAAGAGGATAAAAGATAAGGGACAAGAGTCCTAGGATAAAGAGGAGACTTAGTCAAGATGAGGAAAAAGCCCTTAGAGAGTTTATCTTTATCTCTTGAAGAGTCCAAAGTAAGTACTGAATTGGAGTCCATAGAAGTCAGGTTTCTTGTGGGACTAGGTTTATGTTGGCTATAAAAGAAAGGCACCCCCGTGGGTCTAAGGTACGCAATTTATGCTTTGAGCAATTTTTAGCACTTGATTATCTTTGAGAGATATACTGACTTGATCGTCGGAGTGCCCCCGGGTGGAAGAGCCACCGCTGGAGCCTTTTCTTTCTGTTGCAGGATAACTGAAGCCATCTATTCTGCCAGTGCTCTCTAGCTGATTACTAAGCGGGCAGTGTGATCAGAAAATCACTTACACAATAACATATTGACTATAATCATTCACTATGATGACAGTGGCCTATACAGTTAAAGAATAGGCAAGTAGCATGCTCTTTTTATGCAATAGACCTCCTAAGCGTACTGACCTTCACACCCGTAACAATATAATGCAACCGTGGACTAATTGATAAAAACTACATATGAATCTATTTAATATTTTCATGAGAAATAGTATAATCAGTTTTAAGATTGTTATTAAAATTATGTAATTAAAGACACTCCTGCTGGGAGTGGCAGACCAATTGACCTTGACGTTGAAGGAGACAACCACAATGCAGAAACTCATGACCAGGGCCACGGAGAGAAAGACGTCGGCCAGGAGGGCGACATTTCGAAGAAGACAGACCAAAGCAAGTACTATAACGAAGTTAACCTCCTGGTATGGAGGGATAGATGTCTACGGAGGGATGAGAAAGTAAAAGAATTGGAAAACAAGTTGGCAGACCTGCAGTCGGTCGTCAACTTCATGATGCAAAATAATGTCATGCAGCCACCATACCCGTTGCACGACACGCCAATTCCAGCAACTAATACCCAGAAGAGAGGAAGGAAAACAATCCCCGAAGCCCCTCAGCACACCAGAAGCGGAAGGCACTCTCACCGAGCTTCTAGGGAAGTCGGACGAGAGGAACCAAGACGAGAGGAGTCCCGAAGGACGCATCACACGAAGGACCCAGAGCCCAAAGAACATCGACATGTTCAAGGGTAGGCGCTCTGCTTTAACACAACCCATGGAGAAAGATCAAAACGGACCCACCACGAGGCCGAAAGTAGTGTCCGAAAAGATTGAAATCCAAAGACAGCTGAGCTTCGGGAGGGAGTAAAGAAGACTTGAGAGATTACCTCAAGAGGAAGCAACAAAATGCTGAAGCCGAGGTAACTTCCCCGGATAAGCTGAAGACACCATTCTCAATGGAACTGGACAAATTTGAAGCACCAAAGAGATTCAGTATGCCGAGGTTCCAAATATATGATGGTAAGTCAGATCCCAACTTTCATGTTGGACTATATCTAAATTTAATGGCATTATATAGTGGGAACGAGCCGTTACTCTGCAAAGTATTCCCTTCGTCCTTCGGGAAGATTGTATCAGATTGGTTCCATAAACTATTGAAAGGAAGCGTAAAGACTTGGGAAGGCCTGGCCGAGATGTTTGTGGCCAGGTTTGTGACGAATAAACTACAGCCCTTGAGGGTCGACGCATTGATGACTTTAAAAATCATCAAGGATGAAGGCCTTAGGGCCTACGCAAAAAGGTACTACGAGGTGTTCAATCAAATACCTGAATGCAACCAAGAGGTGGCGGTCGTATCTTTCAAGAACGGCCTGAAAGATGACTGCCCACTACGAAAATCTTTGGCAAAGACATTGCCAAAAAGCATGGAACAACTCATGGCGAGAATCGAGAAGTACGCTAGAGCCGAGGAGGATACGTCGGGAAACAAAGAGACAAAGCAGGAGAAAGGAAACGGCTCGCCGAAGCGAAGCCGAGGTAACAATGGACCGATCAAGCAAGAAACGGACTTGAGGGCTAAACAGGCAGTGACGACTGTATTTCGAGTCCCGATCCACAAAGTCCTGGATCAAATACGAAATCAACCCTATTTCAGAGCACCGACGAGAACACCAGGGGAATTTATGGGAAGAAACGTCCGTAGGCGTTGTGCTTACCACAATGAAGAAGGGCACCCAACTCAGGGTTGCAGAGCCCTGATGTAAAATCTACGTTCCTACACGGTGATTTGCAAGAGCAAGTATATGTTGATCAGCCTCCGGGGTATGTGCAACAAGGGAATGTGAAAAAGGTATACAAGCTAAAAAAAGCCCTGTATGGGCTAAAACAAGCTCCTCGAGCTTGGTATAGTCGCATAGCTACATATTTTTCCAAATCAGGCATTCAACAATGTCCATATGAGCATACTTTGTTTATCAAATCTAAATCTACTGGTGAGATTTTAATTGTGTGTTTATATGTGGACGATATAATCTACACTAGAAACAATAGTGCTATGTTTGATGATTTCAAGCAATCAATGATGATTGAGTTTGAAATGTCTGATCTTGGACTGATGCACTACTTTCTTGGCATTGAAGTAGCACAATCTTCTGCTGGAATCTTTATTTCACAGAAGAAATATGTTCGAGAAATGCTGGACAAGTTTCAAATGGTGAATTGTAATTCAGTTACTACACCAGTTGAACATGGTCTTAAGCTTGGTGGGGAATACAACTCACGGGAATTTGCAAATTTCTGTGAGATGCATGGAATCAAAAGACAACTTACAACATCCTACACACCACAACAAAACGGTGTTGCGGAGAGGAAAAATCGTACAATCTTAAATATGGTGCGGAGTATGCTGAATAGAAGTCCTCTTTCGAAGAGTTTCTGGCCTGAGGCAGTCTTGTGGAGTATACACCTCCTAAACAGAAGTCCAACCATGGCAGTTCGTAATCGGACTCCTGAAGAAGCTTGGAGTGGTAGAAAATCGAGTGTCGACCACTTACGGATTTTTGGGTGCATTGCATATGCACACGTTCCAGATGAGAAGAGGAAGAAACTTGATGATAAATAAGAAAAGTGTATTTTTCTAGGGGTTATCCAATACAGTGGTGGTAAAGAAAAAGAACAGAAAATGGAGGGTCTGCGTAGACTTTACCAGCCTCAATAAAGCCTGTCCCAAAGACAGCTTTCCCCTGCCCAAAATTGACCAGCTAGTAGATGCCACTTTAGGGCATGGAAGAATGAGTTTTTTAGATGCCTACAGAGGGTATCACCAGATCGCCATGTACCCCCCAGACGAAGAAAAAACCGCATTCATCACCTCCAAAGGCCTGTACTGTTACAGGGTAATGCCTTTCGGGTTGAAAAACGCAGGAGCAACTTACCAAAGGTTGGTAACCAAGATCTTCAAATACCTGATTGGCCAAACAGTAGAGGTCTACATCGATGACATGGTCGTGAAGACCAAGGAACCTAAGGGTCATCTTGCTGACCTAAAAGAGGTCTTTGATATACTCAAAACATACCAGCTCTGACTTAACGCATCGAAGTATGTGTTTGGAGTTGGATCAGGTAAATTTCTGGGGTACCTGGTAACAAGAAAGGGCATTGAGGCCAGCCCAGATCAAATCAAGGCCATTCTAGAGTTGAAGAGCCCGACGTCGGCAAAACAGGTGCAGATGCTAACTGGAAGGGCCGCAGCCCTAAACAGATTCATCAGCAGAAACTCAGACAAATGTAAACCCTTCTTCAACCTGGTGAAGAAGGCCACGGACTTCCTATGGACTGAGGAATGTGAGGCCGCTTTGTCCGACCTAAAGAAATATCTGACTACGGCTCCAGTCCTCTCAACACCTGAACCTGGGGAAGAACTGTTTTTGTATTTGGCAGTTTTAGAACACGCAGTAAGTGCAGTGCTAATCCGAGAGGAAAAGGGAGAGCAAAAGGCTGTTTACTATGTAAGCAAAACCTTGGCCGATGCAGAAACAAGGTACCTACCACTAGAAAAATTAATACTGGCCTTAGTAATGGCTTCAAAGAAGCTGAACCATTACTTTCAAGCGCACAAGATTATTGTGCTAACAGAGCACCCACTGAAGTCCTTGTTACAACAAGGAGACTTAACAAGAAGAATAGTAAGATGGGCAGTGGCCTTGGGCCAGTACGACCTGGAGTTGAGGCCGAGAACAGTAATTAAGGGCCAAGTTTTGGCCAACTTCGTAGCCGAATTCACGTCAGAATCCATCAAACATCAGGCTCCGTTGAGCCAAGATGAACGATGTCCAAGCAAACAAGGAGAAGCCCAGCCAAAGGCAAAAGAACAAGGAAAGGAAAAACTCAGACCCTGTAGCATTTACGTCGGCGACTCCTTTCTCCTGTTTGTCGATG